CGGACAGTTAAATTGTAATTAAAGCAGCAAAAATGATTAGGGTGAAAGATTAAACATTATGGGTTAAAGTATAATAAAGAGAAGTTGATTTAAAATTTGAAAGGCAGAACACATTTCTCTCAGGTTCTTTCTCTCTCTCGTTTTTTCTCCAATTTTCTGCAATTTCTCAATTTCTTTGCTCTTTGCATTTTTTTCATTCCTTGCCATTCTCGATTAAGTTATAATGGCTGAGTCCTTAAAGAAACAGAAAAAACCCATATACTCCCAAATTGTAGGCATGATTGGGTCTACCAAAAATAGAGAAGAAGAAGTTGTGGTGAAGTAACTTCCGATGACTGAAGTTGCTCCACTAGGAGAGGAGACGGCGTCGACGGAAGATATTCTATTGGCGAAACAAGGAGGGCAAGAGTTGAAATTGAAACTGAAGAGGAGGATGCCGACGCAAATTCCAAGCGTCGGACATGATCGCTTACGATTTTAAATCGCTTAAGCACCAAGAGTAAAAGTAAGGATCGCTTAAGCGATCTGGTATATGAGAAGATCACTTAAGCAATCTAGTATAAGCGATCATGCATCTAGGCAAAAGTTGTTCTCCTCACATGATCGCTTAAGCGATTATATTCGCTTAAAGCAACTAACGTTAAAAGCAAAGGTCGCTTAAGCAATCATGTGTCTGGACACTTATTTATTGTCTGTTCATGATCGCTTAAGCGACCAACATAAAGCAAAGAATCGCTTAAGCATACTTAAGCGATACTTAGCGTCATGCATCTGGGCACTTATTTATTGTCTTGTTCATGATCGCTTAAACAATCGTAGATTAAGCGATTGCTTAAGTGACTAATAGTAAAGTGAAGAATCGCTTAAGCGATACACTTAATCGCTTAAGCGATACACTTAACGCTTAAGCGATTGGTATCTAGGCAGAAGTTTTATCTCCTCGGACTTGATCGCTTAAGCGATTACAAATCGCTTAAGCGACCAAGGTTGAAAGCAAAGGATTGCTTAAGCGATAGAATAAATCTTAGCGATCGTGCGTCTGGGCACATTGATTCTGTCTTGTTCGAATCACTTAAGCGATCTATGATCACTAAGCGACCAAGTGTAAAGCATAGAATCACTTAAGCGATAACATAAATACACCCAGATTTCTTAAGCGACTAAGTCTAAATACACAGGATCGCTTAAGCGGATGAAATCTCTTAAGCGATCCAGTGTATTTGGATTATTTTTATTGTATTTCACTAGATTGGTTAAGAGATTAACGCTATCTTAGACATATAAGGTGTATGATCATTCAGTACCATGACCGTTATTATATTTTGATTTTACGGCTATATTAAACATATATGATGGAGATGTTTACGTATATATTAAACATATCAAGTGTACGGTTTGTTCAGTGGATCATGACCGTTATTATATTTTAATTAAATTAGTTCTTTTATGGCTATATTAAACATATATGTGTAAAATGTTTACGTCTATATTAAACATATCAGGTGTACGATTCGTTCAGTACTGACCATTACTTAATATTTCAATTAAATTAGTTCTTTTACGGCTATATTAAACATATATAGTGTATAATGTTTACGTCTATATTAAACATATCAGGTGTACGATTCGTTCAGTGGACCATGACCGTTATTATATTTAATTAAATTAGTTCTTTTACGGCTCGTTAAACATATATGGTATAGAATGTTTACGTCTATATTAAATATTCAGATGTACATTTGTTCATAAACTATGACCGTTTTATATTTTAATTAATTATGTTCTTTTATAGCTATATTAAACACATATGGTGTATAATGTTTACGTCTATATAAACATATCAGGTGTACAATTCGTTCAGTGGACCATGACCGTTATTATATTTTAATTAAATTAGTTCTTTACGGCTATATTAAACATTTTTGGTGTAGAATGTTTACGTCTATATTAACATATCAAGTACGATTCATTCAGTGAACCATGACTTTATTATATTTTAATTAAATTAGTTCTTTAACGTGATATTAAACATAAGGGTGTAGAATGTTTATGTTTATATTAAACATATCAGATGTACGATTCGTTCAGTAAACCATGACCGTTATTATATTTTAATTAAATTAGTTCTTTTACGACTATATCAAACATATATGGTATAGAATATTTATGTCTATATTAAACATATCAGTGTACGATTCGTCCAGTGAACCATGACCGTTATTATATTTTGAACTTGTTCTTTTATGGCTATATTAACTATATGATGAGAATGTTTACGTCTATATTAAACATATCAAGTGTACGTTTTGTTCAGTGTTTAGGACCGTTATTATATTTTATAAATTAGTTCTTTTACGGCTATTTTAAACATATACGGTGTAGAATGTTTACGTCTATATTAAACATATCGTGTACGATTCATTCAGTGGACCATGACCGTTATTATATTTTAATTAAATTAGTTCTTTTACGTCTATATTAAACATATTCCATAAACATAGAAAATAATATTGAAGTAAATTACCCTTAATCGCTTAAGCGATCTCGTCTTTTAGCCTTGGTCTAAAGAGTGCAGAGCAATGTTGTAGAGTTCAATTTTATATCAATATTATATTTTTTATATTACTTTCTTGCCAATAACTAACAAAAATAATAGAATAACAATAGATTTTTCAGTTTTATGTATGGTGTTGATTGATAAAGACCGAAGTGTTCTTTTCACATTCTATTGAAATGAAAAAAATAATTAATAAAAAAAGACTAAATATTAAATAAACATTATGGAATATAATTTCTTACCGAAGTATATTGCTTACTGCATCGCTTAAGCGATCCAGTATATCGCTTAAGCAATCTAGTACAAATAAGCCTGATCGCTTAAGCGATCTGCTGCCATATATCTGATCGCTTAAGCGATCTGCTGCTATATACCAGACTTATACCAGATCGCTTAAGCGATCTTCTGTCATATACCAAATCGCTTAAGCGATCTTCTGTCATATATCGGATCGCTTAAGCGATCTGGTACCAAATATCAGACTTATACCAGATCGCTTAAGCCATCTTCTGTCATATACCAGATCGCTTAAGCGATCCATCAGATCCAAAACACATTTTCAGCCATCTCCACCTACAATCTGTCCATCATACCCAGAACACATACCCAGAACAATTTTTTAACAAATTTCACTCCTTTTAACTTGCATTACATCAAACACAACCCAACAACCCAAACAACTAAATCAAAATCATATCCCAAACCCATCTATTATTAAATCTTTGTAAATCTAAATATAAAATGTAAAGAGGAGATACACATATTTACACGAAATGTCAGGAGGAGGAGAATGGAGATCTTTGGCGGAGAAGATGTTAATGGTGGAGGAAGAAGAAAGTGTTAATGGGGGAGAAACAAGAAGATATAGAGGAATGAGGAAGAAGAAGATGTAGACGAAGGAGGAAGAAAAAGATGTAGACGAAGAAGAAGATGCAGACGAAGAAGAAGATGTAGACGAAGTTGAGAAGAAACACCAACCAAGGTGGAGATGCGTTAATGGCAGGAGGAAGAAGAAGGTGTTTGGGTTTGTTTGCAAGAATTTCGGGTTTTTGGGAATATAGTATAACTTTTAAAAGATTATATAATACTTCATTAATCCTAATTACCCTTAATCAATAATATGACTATTTAGTAAAACTTTAAAATTTGATAGCCTTTTAATTAAATTCAAACTTGAAAGGTTGTTTTAATAAACTGTCCCTCAGAGAACAAGCGACCCATAAATTTCAGAAGACCACTTACATCCTTATAGTTTTGGAATAGAACACTTACACCCTTCTTAGTTGGGAGACCCTTTGTGAAAAGTTAATTCGGGCATAAAATCTTGGTGCAAAGACTAAAGTACCCTTATTTTATCTTTTCTCATACAATAAAAAAGAAACTAATATCTGAAATTTGTAATATGATCAAAATATTTAATTGATTTAAAACTATTAAACTTTGGTAATTCAATTCAATAAGACATTTGAGAAGAAAAAAAACTTGTTATTTATTTGTTGTCTATTTTACCCTTAAGATAGTTACTTTTTACACACCATTCGATTACGTGTAAATTTTTCATTTTGAAACTATATAGGTGTAAATGAAAAATAAAATTGACATATTTTTTTTCCGTGCATAAATTAAAATTTGATGCAATTTTTATAATTAATATAATTTGAAGATTACAAATATAATATCAACTTTTTGAATGTTATCTGCATAGGGGTTCGGAAATTGTGTTAATTTTTATTTTTTTATTTTTAAAAAAGATACTCTTGAACCTAAACCAGCGACAAAAAATTAAAACTGTGATCGCTGTCTAGTACATGAAGCATTAAACAAATGTATTAATTAATATCATGTTATAAGTTTTAATGAGGGGCATTTAATTTTATTTTTCCCATTAATCACAATACCTAATATCTTTACAAGAAATTCTACACTTTATTTAACAAATCATTTTACACACGTCCTCTCATTCAAACTGGTCTGGACATTCCGATTATAAAAAATAAAAAATAATATCTCCTTGATCAAAAACCATCAACAACGAATAAATAAATAACTACACCATAAAAACTATTTAATTGATTATACTCCTATCCATAGCTTTACATTTCTTCAAAGTAAAAGCTAAAATTGCATATAATAGAAAATAGTAGTCAAGTGTCCAACTACACTTGCCTTAAGCTGAGTATGGCAATTTCTACCAACGAAGAAAAATCCCACCAAGTTAATTTATGGTTACATTTATCGCAAAATCTATCATTTCAATAAACATATACTAGTTCTACTTAAATTATTCATGGCATCATACATCAATATATTATTTATCACCGACAACTCCAGTGTCCAGATGGCCTCAGAAAATATTAAGCTCACGTAAACATTTCTAGGTTCTACTCTACCCAGCTTCCAGCTACCAGCCTCTTCTTCCCAGGTCCAGGCAACATACATAAGATGACACATAATAATAAATTCTTACCATTTAAACAACCATCATTACTTTTGTTCTAGGATCATAAAAAAAAAAAGCACGTCCGGACAGCAGCAAATACCAAAAACAAAAGAATACATAAAGGCAGAAGCCAGTTCTTTGTGAACTAACTTCCCTAATGATATTTGAATCAAAAGATCTACTATCTCAAGATTGGTACACAAAATGCGGCAATGAAGTTACCACAAAATGTAACTTACCCTTCGGGTGCCTAAGTCTCTTGCCATGTTGGTTTTTAATAGCAAGTTCATCGAGAGAGGATATGAGACTGAGATTCTCAATGAAGTGACTTGATGTGGAAAACTTGACAAGCTGGCTTATAAGACCTCTTTGCCGCAGCCTGCTCAAACTTCTTTGTGGCAGCTTCATTATCTTCTAAGTTATTCTGAAGAAAATACTTTATCCACCAAGATGGACTACGCAATTTGGCCTACACCAAAATAACATTTCAAGATATCAACTTTCTTCTGACAATCATTGGAAAATTCAATTGCAATAACCATTAAAACAGTACGATGATATACATGAAAACTACCATAGAATTGGCTGCATCAAAATCACAGTGATGTTATACAAACAGGCACCACTCTTCAAGAACTTCTACATGGTTTTCTAATTTTCCATTACTCTTTTTCATTATTTAATTGCTTTAAAATTTCAAAGGAATATAGTGTCTTCTTATTTCTCTATAAGTAAAATAAACTAATTTTCCAGTTACATTTATCAATTTTCTTAATTTATTTCAATTTGTAGCAAAAATTACTTGACCAAATCCATTGGATCCAACTTAAAACATTCCACACCCTGTGTCCATTTGATAGACAAAATTAATGGTTTCAAAAGAAAAGATATTGCAGGGTTGATCCAAAACCCATAAACCAAATATTACTTTCACCTTCACTTTCCCGTAATAATGCAAAAACCTGACAGTACTAAAGAGTAAACAGAAATCCATAAAATATATCAATCACTTACTGGACGGCCAAATTTGGACAGTTCTGCAATTTTAGCTCTGTGCTGACCAGGATAACCTACATTAGAAATGGCATCAGCAAAAACTTCAGAAAATCAATCATTGTATGGCATAAATATAATGATTAAAAAAGCAGATAATCAACAACACAATCCTAAGATGCTCGAATCATGTTAAAAAGATCTAGGTGAAGAATTTCTGGTGGTGGGAGAAAGGGGAAAGGTAGGAATGCTTCTTGTATAGAAGAGTTTACACTGTCTCCTGTTAACAGATTGAGAAAAGACATGAAGAAAGTGATCAAGGAAAACTGGATTGCTACACCAATATTAGCACCAAACGGGTGAAATTGAACAAGGAATCATATAGACTGAATCAGCCCCTGACAGCCAGAATTAGCCCATGTGAACCTAATTACCATTGATCACAGAAAGCTGGTCAAACCAAACCAAATACCCAGTAAACTTCTCAGTCAGGTTTGAGTTATTCACCCAACATAAACAAGAATTAGCATGTCATGCCTGAGCACATTTGTAGAGAAATGTAAATAAGCTAAATAGGGGTTGTAAATTACCCAAATAAGGGGCTTACCGGTAAATATAACAACACCATCAGCAGATACCCTTGCCATTTCTGGAAGAGTTTTGTTGAGGTACTTTGGAGTCAAGTAATCTACAGCATCAGACACTATGACTAGAGAAAATGACTTTGCCCTATAGGGCAGAGGAAATTTGATATCAGCCACCCGCACAATGCCTTTGCGCACTAGACTCTTGCAGTTGGCATCAACATCATCTAAGTCGTATGGTTCCACACCCCATGCCTCTGTATCCTCCTCTTTCAACAATTTAGATACCACTGAACAAGTTTCAGGTCCTACATGCAATACTTTACGCATGCTGTCACCATATGCCTTCTTGAGAACAGGTAATGCTCTCTGGACTTCTAACGTGCATGAAACATCACCTGCATACACATAATTGAATCTTGAAACAGGAGAAATGAAATTTTATCTGACAAATTGGCATGCCTATAGTACTATATACAAATTGGAAGGTAATCAAAAAGGTAATACTGCCAAGAATTTCTTAGCAAGAAACAAGAAATGCCCAACTCAAACCATTACAGGTTTAAAAAATGTTTAATTCAGTGAATTTCTGTACTCATTATATTAAATTTCTGCAACTCTTAGTACACAATAGACCAACAGTACAGTATATAATCAAAAACTTTAAAAGGAAATACTGAAACAGAAAAAATAAAAATACAAACTACTAAGCAATATATTAATACCATAAATTCATTAGTTGATTACATACAGTAAGAATAAAGCACATAACTGCAGATCACTATCTACATTACAAAATGTGGATGGCCTATATATTGGGTTGTAAAAAGCCCAAACTAATAGTTTGAATCCAGTGGCTCAGAACAATCTGAACCTAGACAAAGCTCAAATCTGTTGTAAAAGACTACAAAGACTTCTTTCCCTCTAATTTCTCCTCCCCAGTTGATTTAGGAGAATAAACTTGAAAGTTTTCTTGTTCCACATAAACTATCTGGCATCAAAATGGACAGTGCACACTATGTCTGCCATGGATTTAACTTTTCTGTTGGAGTATTAAAAAAACCATGCAAATTGTAAGTCCTAACCCATTCTTCAATAGGAAGTTCTAGTCAATTGCAACTCCGTCGTGGCCACAATTAACTTATTGCTTTTTTAAACCCCTAAGACCCCTCCCCCATGACAGAACACCAACCCTCTATTAAAGTAGTTAAAAGCTTATAGAAACGAATGGCCAGCACTCAGCCACTCACTATATTCATCATTTATTTGCAAATCGCTGGCATACCAAAATTTCTCAAAGTCGGTAAATGTTGTTTAAGAGACTGTCTATATGCATCACAAAGTTCAACCATCCCATGTATCAATCACATAAGCTAATATATTGAAGTGCCACAAAAGTATCCAACCACAAACATCAATGGACAAAGTAGTTATGAAAGAACAAACATAAAAGCCATATATGGCAGAATACTACTATTGCATTCAAAATAAAGGTATTAAAAAGCATCAAAACTAAAATAAATAAATAGAACCACACCTTCAATTTTACTCAATGCCTCCTTTTCACTGATTACTCTACCTGTAACAGAAACCAAATAGTGAAAACAGAGCATAATATAGAAAGGTAACACAGAAGCTAGACAAGTGCCATTAAATTACGGATACTCATGATGGACAGAAGATTCCAGCACCATAGTTATCAAAGGGCAATTACATAAAGTTCTGTCTATGAACCACATTATTTTCTCGCCATCTAGTTTTTTTCCATGAAGGGCTTAAAAAAAGGTATGTAAAACTGACAATAGTTTTCAGGTCTTGGTCCTGGGACAGAGAGATGAAGAAGTTCATAAACTACTCATCACACACAAAAAATAAAGCTAACAGAGGGAGTACAAACCTGACCCACTATACAAATAGCCAATGAGGAGAACTGCACCCTGAAATTATCAAAAATATAAAATGATTAATAATTTTTATTTTCATACTAAAACCATTCTAAAAATAGCAGTTTAATAACTAGGTGTCTGTGGAAGGCATGCTTCCTTTTTGAAGGAATACTAGTTGCTAATTAATAATTGTAAAAAATCATATTGAAGAGGAGAAAAAAAACTGGGGAACAACAACTGCAATGACACATACCACTGCTAAAAGTATAACAGGCAATAAGGGTGACGAGCGTGATTTGGAATGCGCGGAACCCATAAAAGGGATGCTTCCGCCATCAACAAGGCGTCGAGCAGGATTTACAGGCCTTCTTGACATGGCTATATAACAGTCTAGAGCCTTCAAAACCGAGATTAAAATAAGAAAAATTAGTATGATGTTTACAATCAAAGCTTTCACAGTTTTTTATGAATTCTTTCTATCTGTTGATTAAAAAATAACCAAAAATCCCAACTCATTAGAATATGTCCTACATCTTTAAATCCCACAAACCTTATCATATCAATCAGGTTCAATCCTAGCATTAAATTACAAGTAAATTACCAATCAAATTCCACAAAACTTTCAAACAATTATGAACAAAAATGTTGCCAACCCAGTACATTACAAACTCCAAAAATAGCAATAGACCTCTTCCCACGAAACATTAACATTTCCAATATATGAAAAATCACCCACCAAACACTAAACAGTTTATCAAGCAGAACACTGATTCAACAAATACCCACCACTCAAAATCAACAAAATCCAAGGTAAAATCCAATGAAAGAAGGCATCACCTGAGAGGGGTTAAGTTTAGGGCCGGATCCAGATCTACTAGTGGTCTTACACTAACAAGTTCAAGTGGGATCCTGATTTATTTATTTTTTCTTAATATTTTATATTCGATTTCGGATTTCTTTTAATTACGCGGTGGATCTCCCTGGCATTTGACTTTAATACGGAAAAAAAAAAATATTCTGCTTATAGTTAAAGTGGGAAAAAGCGAAGCGCTAGCCCACCGTTTTTGGAAATACTAATTAGTAATTACTAAAGATTTTCACGGGGAGGTAATTGATATTTTCAAATAATTTTAGATGTAATTGATATTAACCTATTTCATGAGATTTATAAAAACAAACCATATTAATAAATAATAAATAATAATAATATTAGAATCTGTAATTCTGTATTTATAAAACAAAGTAGTAAAAAAGACTTACAATTATTGTCAATATATATATATAGGGGTGGAGGGAAATTATACAAATAATATTTTAATATTTTTATTCGAAATGAATAATTTTTTGTATATTATTCTACATAATTTAATTTTATAGGAAAAAATTAATCCTAGTAAATGATTTTAATTTCTACAGAAGGCATCAATCATCGTATTACTAATTGAACAAGGTAGAAAATTACAAGTTAATAATAAAAGTCGTGACACTTTTGTGAGAAATCATCAAAAATAACCTTTGAACCCTATTGGCGTATAATTATGTTAAATTGAGATTTAAAGAAAATTACAAGTTTATATTGGATTTAATTCAAGATTTAAAATATAAATATTGTTGCATATTTTAATAATAATAACACATTAACGTATTTATCCATTTTGTTGATACAAAATCACCTAGGTGCGTTTGGTTATGGATCTGGGAAGATTACTCCTTTAATCTATCTTTTATTACGGGGATATGTTACTTGGTTTTCGAGCAATAAGAGATTATGATAATCTTTCATTGTCAATAGTTATTATTGTTGATAATATAGAGGGTAATCAGATAATTTTCTCAATAAGTGTTATTAAAAGATTGTCAGGGTAATTCACTGTTCATTCAAATTTTACCCTTAATTAAAAAAAAAACACTTTGAACACAAATGCCCTCATATGTTTATCAGATAACAATTAGTTCAATTATGCAAAATGACTTCTATAACCCTAAAAACTATCTTTGGACAGAAATGTCCCTCACTATTTATATGAATATCACCTAAAATTATTTAGCCACTGTAGATGACTATCGGTCGTTGCCAACAATCACTGGAAAAGCACACGACCAACCAGATCTGACTGACCATGTGCTGATATGGCCATTTTCGACTACATCGAAAGCCAAAAATGGTTAGATGGCCTTAGATCTGGCTGAAAACGGCTTGATCTATTCTAGCTATTTTCGACCATATCCATGGCCATTTTCAGCTTACCGGCCAAATCAATGCACGATCGACTAAATTTAACCGGTCGCACGTCATTTCGGCTACCGATAGTTGTCTGTAGTAGCTGAAGGTATTTTGCCAAAATTTAAAATTCTATTGTTGGGATGTTTTAGCTAAATTCTCAAATATAAAGTGTTAAAGGTAATCTATAATAATAATAAAATATTATTAAAAATGAAAGGCAATTCAGTAAAAGCCTCTACCAATAATATTTTATTCCTTTCAACCAAACATTTTAATTATTTATACCCATCAATCTAATTAAACATGTTGATATAACATTCCCTAACAATTTTCCAAGTAATTTTTCTCATTAGTAATCCTACCTTTTCACCAATAAAACATTCTCCGAACTAAATGCACTATTTATGTAATTGTTGAGTAGAGCTAGCTTCTATCTTCTTTGGTATATGTTCTTAGCCTTCCAATTTTTTATTTTTTCCTTCAAAGTTGAATTTTATTTTATAGATCTTATAATTATCTTGATTTTATCTCCTCTGTAATTTTAGTCGTGATACATCAAAATTTGAACCCACAAATTAACCTTCAATTCCCATTAACCATCAAAATACATTACCAAGATGTGGTCAAACATTTTTTTTGTAACATTGTTGGTAGTCTTATTCTACTTTCCTTTGATCTTACATTTATCTTAAACCAAATGTTCGATTGTTTGTGAGAAATTATTTTAATAATCGAGGGCATGATAGTAATTAATATAGTATAATTCCAGAAAACTTTAGAGGAATCCATAAATCATAATTTTAAGGAATGAAGATTTCTTAGAATCTCCATTCCTTCCTTAAATCCACCTTAAAATACAGGTTACACGCGTGTGCATGCGCGTGTAGCTAACACGCATGCAATGGTACGCATATTGTAGCACATATAGCTACAGGGAATGTACTTCTACTTGTGGCCAATAGCAATGCATGGGAAATGGACTAAAAGCCTCTCCGCTTAGAAATGCCAAATTAGGAAAGCCATGGTGCAAGGCAATAACATCGAACTTGTGCAAGGTTCAATATATGATATAACTATTGTTAGCACTCGCAAACTTTTCAACACACTTGGGTAATTACTGGAGCTTTTCCATAAGCATGGGTAATTACTTAACTTGAGGGAGGATAATAGGGGAGCAGTTTATTAAAAAGACATTTGGAGTTAAAATTTAATTAAAAAATTATGTAGTTTATAAATGTTAACTAAATAGCCTTATTTTTTATTAAGCTTAATTAGGTTAATTAGGATTAATGTATAATTGTGTAATCTTTTAAAAATTATAATATGCCCCAAAAGAGTCGAAATTCTTACAAACAAACCCAAACACCTTCTTTTTCTTCTTCCCGCCACGTTAACGCATTCCTCCGCCATTAACATCTTCTCCAACACAGATCCTCCTCCTCCTGACATTTCGTCCAGGTATGTGTATCTCCCTTTCGATTTACAAATATCTGGGTTATGATTTTGATTTAGTTGTTTAGTTGTTGGGTTGTGTTTGATGTAATGGAAGTTGAAATGAGCGAAATATGTTGAAAATTTGTTCTGGGTATGATGGATCGATTGTAGGTGGAGATGACTAAAAATGTGTTATGGGTATGATGGATCGCTTAAGCGATCTAGTGTATCACTTAGTTAGGTCTGGTAATGCAGCAGATAGATCGCTTAAGCGATCAGGTATGTGGCATAAGATCGCTTAAGCAATCTGCTAAAAGTCTAGTGTATAGGAGCAGATCACTTAAGCGATCAGTAAATGGCATAAGATCGCTTAAGCGATCATGATTATTTATACTGGATCGCTTAAGCGATACACCAGACCATATAAGCGAATGTGCAAATTCTTTTTAAAATATTTGAACCCTTAGTACAACATTTAAGAATATTTTTTTTCTTGCATTACAGGTAGTTGGCTATTATTACACATGGGACAAGTTATTTTGGGTGTTGAATGTTTTGGTGAGTGGGTGGAGGAAAAAAGTAGCTGGATGTGGATTGGGAAGAGCAAAGAAGTTATACCAATTTCTGTGAGCATAGAGGTTAGTTTTGATGAGTTGATTGATGAAATAATTAGAAGAGGTGATTTGAGTTGCTCGCGTAGTGATATAGTTGTGAAGTATCTTTTAAGCAGAGTTCCTAAACATTATAAGGTACCCCTGCCATAGTAAAGTCGGATAAAAGTGTGAAGTTATATATGATTGATATGGCCGATAATGGTTCGAGGCCGATTTTAAGGGTTTCTTTTGTAGAAAAACTGTCGGAAGTTAGTTCAAAGGAAGGGGATAACAAGGAAGTAGGCGGAGATTTGCCTGGTTTTAGTTTGAACTACGAGGCCATTGATTTGTTAGTTGAAGAATCAAGAGTAGACGGTGAATTGGGTGGTGAGGAGGACACTGTAGAAGAGGTTGGTGATGGGGGCAGAATGAAAATGTTGAGGAGGAGGACCCCCTACATGTTCCCACAGATGTGGAGATTCCTTTAAATACAGATTATACAGAAGGCGTAGATTGTGAGGAAGAGAACACTATGGTCGTTTATGCAGGTTCAGAGGGGCAATTAGAGGTAGTAGTGAATCAGCTCATGTTTTAATGGATGGATCAAAGTTAGGTATACATTATTTATTTGACAACAAAGAGGAAGTGGTGAGGAAGCTAAAACTTGTTGCCGTGAGAGGTAATTTTGAGTTCATCACCAAAAAGTCAAATTCATTGCCTGTGACGATTGCATGTCGTGATCGAAAGTGCAAGTGGCGGGTTTATTGTAGAAGGTTGGTAGAGTCGGAAAAATTTATTCTTAGCACATATACCCGTGAGCACACATGTGGTTTGGGACATATTTCAGGTGAGCATCGACAAACGTTCGTTGATGTTATTGGACAATTTGTCAAAAGTCGGTTCGTTGAAGGGAAATGTCCATCTCCTAAAGACATTCAGAGACTTGTGCGCACAGAGTTGGGATGTGCTGTTAGTTACTGGAAATGCTGGAAAGGGAGACAACATGCATAAGATTTTGTGAAGGGCACGCCGGAGCACGGGTACGTAGTATTAGAAGCGTATATGCTTGAGTTGACAAACCAAGGTAGCAAGACGGCTTTGAGTGGGACAGGAATATGATGTTTAAATATTTTTTTTGTTGCTTACGGTTCTGCTATAAGGGGTTTTGTAAACATGAGAAAGGTGTTGGCTGTTGATAGTTGCTTTCTGACGAGAAAGTATGGAGATACATTGTTGGTGGCCACTGCGCAGGACAGCGAGAATCACACATATCCTGTTGCATGGTGTGTGGTTGACTTTGAGAATGACGAGTCGTGGACTTGGTTTTTTCAGCAATTATGTACAATAGTGCCTGATAGTGACGAGTTGTGCATAATATCCGATAGGCACAACTCTATAAAGAAGGGGATTGCCACCATTTACCGTCAAGCACATGACGGATTCTGTATGAGGCACCTTGGTGAGAACATAAAACAAAAGTTTAAGTGTGTTGGCCTCCTTCACACATACTACATGGTAGAAAAAACTTATCGAGTTGATGAGTTAAATGAGCACTTCCAGCAAATCTGAATCAAGGATGATAGAGTTGCTAAGTATCTTGAGCATGATGTTGGTTTCGAGCGATGGAGTAGAGCTTACTTTCCTAGAAGAAGGTTTGATGTCATGACCACGAATATAGCGGAGTCCATAAATTCGAATTTGTTAATAGAAAAAGAGTTTCCAATAGTTGCACTTTTTGATGCA